CTCCTCGCGTTGCGACGCGTCGCGCCTATCACACGTGTTCACGGTGTAAGCCCGCGTCCCGTACACCGCGCGTCACTTAGCGAAGCACGCGACCACGATTCGCACGGCGAATCGTGCCCGCCGCACACACACACCCGCGTTATACACACACCGCACACTCACACCGATTTTGTACACACACGCACACACCGCCGTTCGTGAATACCAGCCGCGACGACTGGTATCACACGTACACACATACACATACATATACACACACTCACACTCTGTACTTGAACAACAGAATATATCAGCGTTCTTATTTCTCAAAACCGTATTCTGATTCATTCATACCGCCTTGTCTCTCTCCTCCTGGCCGAATCTCTTTGCGACCACCCTGGCCGCAGCCCGTGACCTGCGAGCTACGTCCACGCAAAGTAAGGTTGTTTCACACGTGTCATACTCAAAACATCCGTTAAAATTGATTGGCATGAGCCAAACAATATGTTAAGATCATCAGCTATTTCTCTAATCGTGATTCGACGATTTTTCAACACAATTTCTTTCACTTCCTGAACATTTTCGTCGGTTTTTGACGTGCTGGGGCGTCCAGAGCGAGGTTCATCGTTAACATTTTCTCGGCCCTCTTGGAATAACTTATACCATTTATAACATTTTTTTTGCTCAAAGTTGCCTCACCGTACGCCACTGTCAACATTTCAAGAGTTTTTGAACACTTAATACCATTTTTTACACAAAAATTAATACAAACTCTGCTCCATTATTTTCAACAGCAAAAAATCGCCGAGCACGCAAACACGAGTCTAACCTTTATGCCTCTCACATAAAAACAACACATGCTATATAGTCAAAACTGTGAACATATGATCGTGACGAGTGTACCAACACAACAAAAAAAAAATTTTGAAATTAGAGTGTACAGATCGCGCGAAATTCAAAAAGTCACCTTACTTTTTGATCACACCTCGTATTATTTTGTTTTATTATATATTCATTTTTCTAATACTAATATATCAAAATAAATTACCTGACAACATAACACAATCAGCACCATCGAGAATAGCATTAGCAACATCTGAAGTTTCAGCTCTCGTAGCACGTGGTTTTTTTACCATAGACTCCAGCATTTGCGTAGCACAAATTACTGGTTTGCCAACTTTGTTGCATCTGCTGATCATAGACTTCTGTGCCAGGAATACCTTCTGCGGTGGTATTTCTATTCCCAAGTCACCACGTGCTACCATAATACCATCGGATGCATCGATAATCTCATCAAGATTCGTCATACCTTGTTGATTTTCAATCTTCGATATGATTTTGATGTTTTTACCCTTTTCACCGAGAATATCACGAATCTCAGTTAATGCAGCAGCATTTCTAATAAAGGAGGCGAATATCATATCGACTTCGTATTCAACACCAAACTGAAGATCGGATTTATCTTTTTCTGACACTGCTGGAAGATCCACTGGCACTCCTGGCAAATTCACACCTTTGCGCGAACCCAACATACCACCATTTTCAACAGTCGTAGAGATTAAATTGGGACCTAAAATGGGTAAATGAGACATTCTATATATTTTTCGTACTTATTGTTAGATATATTAACATTTCTCATTATCAAAATACACAAAAACAGCTGATCAAAAAAAATTGAAGCTAAAATAATCAAATGCTATTACATAGTCAGAAACGTATCACATGTAACATTTCAATTTTATATTTTCAAAGACACACACATACAAATGCACTTACTGATAGCGGAAACAATGAGAGAAATCAAACCATCGTCCACAAATACGCGATTCCCCGTCTTTAATACCTTTGAGATATTTTCGTAATCAACATACACAACTTGAGCATTTCCTTTCTCTATATATGCCTTGTCAGTGGATAGTTTAAAGGTCTGGCCTTTAATTAACTCAACTTCAGCCGAGCCACCCTGTTAAAATAATATGATAAATTTAAAATATTACCATTACATAAGAATTAATTCTTGCATTTTAGATATATTAATACGTACACCTTCTAACAGACCGGTACGGATTTCAGGACCCTTTGTGTCAAGAGCAATAGCAACAGGAATATTGATACCGGCACGGGCGGTTAAATTCTTTTGCGCCTGGCGAACATTAGCGATAGTCTCAGCATGATATTCGTGAGACCCATGAGAGAAGTTCAATCGAGCAATATTCATTCCTGTCTCAATCATTTTTTCTAAAATCTCCACAGATCTGGATGCAGGACCGATTGTACAAATGATACCAGATAAACGGACAAAAGATACTTGACTGTTGATATCCAGAGCGCACATATGGTCTAATTGACTTTGAGAATATAATGCCAGAGTATTTGGCTTGCCAGCCATCTAGAACAATTCAATGAAATTTGAAGAAATTCGGATTATAAAAATAAAATAGTAAGATAGTCAATTAAGTAATTGTGCATATTAAGGGCGATCTCACAGAATTTAATGATCTTCACATATGTTGTCAAGATTATGACCTCCAATAAGTTTTAGCCGTCGTTTGTTATTCGTTTAAAAATTATTAACAAAATAAGTTTAAGGAAATAACGTCTTTTCTACTACATAAAACAAAAATTCTCTGTTTTAAAATAGAATCCTCTCTTGCCTAGGGGCACACGACTTTCCACGAGAAGCGAGTTCCACCCCACCTCCTCCTCTGCGAAGGGGCGATCGACTTTCCACGCAAAGCGAGTTTCACCCCACCTCCCCCTTTCCTGCCAAAAGACGTCTGACTTTCCATGCAAAGCGAGTTTGACCTTATCTCCCCCCCCCCCCCCCCCCCCCCCATTTCTACATAAAACGAGTTCTGGGCAGGAAGGATGTGGAATGGGATGGACCTCGTTTCGCGAGGACGCTCTTTGGCAAGTAGGGGTAGTGTGAAACTCGTTTCGCGTGAAAAATTGTGCGCCCCTAGACAGGAAGGAGATACGGTGAAACTCGCTTCGCGTGGAAAGTCGGACGACCATACGCAGGGAAGGTTGGGTGAAACTCGCTTCGCGTGAAAAGTAGTGCGTCCCTAGTAAAAAGGGAGATAGAGTGGAACTCGCTTCGCGTGGAAAATCGGACGCCTCTTAGCAGGAGGAGGAGGTGAAGTGGAACTTGTTTCTCGTGGAAAGTCGTGTGCCCCTACATAAGAAAAAATTTTAGAGACTCTGACAGTACCAATGTTCGAGCGAGTTCAGTTCGATGAGTAATCGTATCATTATGAAACAATCGAAATGAGAGGGGGAAATTCTAAACTGTAAAGTACTAGGTGGAAATGTGCATCCGCCATGTTGGTTCTTGGCAGCTGGCACATTTTTCAAAACCATCAATGTTAAGGCTCCTAAGTACTCAGCCAAGAATTCTGCATTGACAGTGACGACACAAAATCAGACGGCGGCCCAGCGAAACCGGTAGACACACACACAAGCACGAGCTCATGTACTCTCGGCGCACCGAAGGCGAGCATATGTACGTGAGTTCGTATTCGTGTGTGTGTTACAGCGCCTCGCCACGATAAATGGCTGAACTCGTAAACGTAGAAGAGTGACGTTTTGTGAAAAGTGACGGCGAAATTTGTGTTGAATGCCATTTCATTATTATTTGTTAAATTATAAAAATGTGACTTGTCTCGTACTTATCAAAGTAGTAATTATCGACAAAAACTAAAGTATCTCGGAATTTTATATGTAGAAGCGTATTTTTCGGGAGGATCCTGTTTGCCTACAGTTCTGATTGTACACACCACTCATATCAACTGGTGCCTAGTAATTTTTTACTGTTTTTTACTGCCAATGAGATTATTTTATTTTTAAATTGGCCAATCAGCGATACATGTGTGCAATATGCGATGTGTGCAATCGGAGCCCTCCCGTATTTTTCACTCGTTTCAACAGCTATCAGAACGTGTGTTTCTGCCTGAGTATAGGCTTTACGACCATTTACCGACTGTCAAGGAAGGAAAGAACAATATCGTCGATTTTTATAAAGCGATCTCGTCATTTAGATTTATTTAAATTATCTTTACTTACAAATGACACGTTACATGAATTAACGTGTCATTCCATGCACCTAACGTCACGATTCCAACATGACCGCGGCGACTACTCATTGGCCTTAAATACACAATTCAGCCAATTCAGAAATAAACCTAAAAGTATTGTTATATGCGACACAATAATTTAACAGTGTCAAAGTTTCATTTGCAAATAAATAAAATAATTTTCAAAATAAACATTTAACATATATAAGTATACACATATATGTATTATACATATAACGACGATTTTATCATTTTACAATAAATATTGAGAAGGCAGAACTAAATTAAAACTATATAATAAACAAAGGTTAGAATTAAAATAAAAGAGAGTAGTTTAAAAGGATATATTTTAATAAAACTGTTAAATATTAGGTGCTAAACTTAATTCCTATCGTTTTTTCGTCTCGAAAATCGATTTGTTTCGAAGGAAAGATGAATGAATACCTTAATCAAAGTAATTTCCTCCATTTT